TGACACACAGTATTCCATTAATTCATCAACATCGAGAAAGTCTCCGCCAAGTTGGAGAGTCTTACCTAAGGAAGCCAGTTTCCTGGCATATTTGACCAATGCTTGAAGGTGTTTCCTAATCAGCATGTTGCACTGAATCTTCAGCCCTTCAATTAAAAGAGTTTCAATATTTGTTATCGTGAAGTCAACAAGATTTTCGTAAAATACATAATCTGACTCTATTTCCATGCAATTTGAGCATGAGCCCAGGGGAACGGAATGCTGAGCAAGTGGCTATTTTTCATGTTGCAAAGTCCGTCTGCACATTATAGGAATGTACAGAAGAGAGAGAACATAGGGAAAAAAAATCTTTAGAATCAGAATATTTCAAATAGAATTGCTGGAGAATCTAATTTAATTCTCAATGTCAATAAAAATGTTTGATCTAGATTCAGCTTCCAACACCACTTCTTGTATTGTCTTCCCTGTGATATCTTCCATAGGCATCAATTCCTTTGCCAGAGTAGACATCTTTTCAACTCCCTCAGATGCCCAGCATTGTAGTATCTCCATGATACTGAATCCCATTGCTGCAGGTAAAAGAACTGGATCAGACACTTGCATGATTAATCTGGCACCATTTTCTGAATTTCTGAAAAGCAATGGACTCATTGACTGTAACTGTGAGAAGCTACCATCTTTAGTCTGAATAATTGGACCTAGGGGTCTTCTCCAAGAGAAGGTAATTCACTGGTTCTTGTGCTGGAATATAGATTGAACTTCCAAATCCACCGGAGCTCGTGCATGGAGAATTCTGAAAAGCTTTTTCATTCAGAACCCATTCGTGCATTTTAAGCTGCAGTTTCCAAGTTTTTGTGCGCTTTAGCATTTCTTTTACTCCTTAATGGCTGGTTCCCAGTACCATGCTTCCTTTCACCTTCTTCAATAGTGAATGACAACTCAATCATTTGAACATCCACTAGGAGCAAGGCAACTATATTTCTCTTTTGCCGCCAATATCAAATATGGAGTTTCGCCAAGCCGTGGTGTTCTCTCCAAATTGTCCCAAAAGACAATCCCTCGGGGACTCAAGCCACTATTATAAACTTCGTCATCTGGATTCTGCTCAATGCTCAACATGTCGAGAAAATCATTCGCTATGGATTTTGCAACATCATCCAAGCTATGTTATTTTACTAATTCCCTCCTTTGTAACTAGACGTTCTGTAATTCACTAGCTCGTCATACTTACTTATATCTAGCAATGAGTCAGAATTTTTCACCAGTTGGTTCTTTAGTGCACATGATACTTTCTTTGTATTCACTGTCATCCTCGGCATTTTCCATTATCATTATCATTATTACCATTTACTTCAAGGTTCAAATTCCATTCCGTATTCCCATCATATATGATGCATCCATCCAAAATCTCTGCAACATAATGATTTCAATTACAGAACTGTCAAAACTTTGAAAAGCATATTGTCCTGTTTTCTCTTGATCCTTAATGGACAATTTTACATATTGCTCAATTACAGTAAACTCAGTATCACAATGCTTCCAAACCAGACTTAAAATTCTGTCAGATTGAAGTTGTCAGATCAAAATGCTAAATTCTGTATAAAAATGTTCTTCTTAGTCAAGACTTAAAGCTTTTGTGAATAGTTAGAATAATATTTTGTAATTTCTATAGTGGGGAAGATATTAAACTGTCCGCTTTCTTGTACATTTTGTGCAATTTTTGTGCAAATGAGGGGGTGGGGTGGTAATTTTATCTAAAGCACTTCTTTCACAAGGTGAACAAGCTGTGAGAATCTGAAATCTTTTGTATCACTATTAAAAATTTATTTATGCAAGTCGTAGTTCATGTGCAACATTTTTAGATATTTTAAAGTCTTGTAAAAATGTTACTTTTAGATGTTGGGTCAATAATAAAATGTTAGTTATATTGCATTTATAAATTATAAATGGAAAATAATCTTTGTATTTCATGAGAATAATTGGGTTATTTTCTAACAAAATAGAACCCAATCCATATTGGGGTATCAGGGAACTTTTCAAGGTGCCATTGTGACAATGGCTTTCCAAAAGGCATGATCAACTTCCACGGTGATCCACTTCATTGTTACTGCTCCTTGAACCTGCACTTGTACCAAATGTGTCACCTGTGGTAGATGGTGAAGGAGACCTGACCACTGTTCTATTCCCAGCTATGGTTCCAGTATAGTGATGATTTATCCCACTGACATCTCATAAGCCGTGCCCTCAAGTATCTAATTATGAGAATTTGATTAAATCTGATATAGCTGGTCCTTCCAGGTAAGTTGGCATGTCATAACAGCAATATATTTTGTGAATATTCAACTTGAAATATTTTATACTTATGTAAGTGGATATATTTCCTTCCTAGGATTCATTTCGCTTTTTTTCTTGTTTATGTAATTTTCTTCATAAAGTTCATGTAAACTAACAAGAAACGTGAATTAACTCTTGACTCTTACTAGTGTAACCGATGTTGTTAATTAGTTGCATATTGTTGCATCAAGCTGCAGTTTTTCTCCATGATCTGTTTGTTCCAATCCTGTGCAGCTTAGGGACAAAGCAAAAAAAAGGTCTCTCATGTGCCATTCATGTGCAACCTAGGTGCATGGTGAAACAGCCTCATTCGAGGTCAAAAGAACACTTGTGCTCACATGCATAGGGATATAATATCTAATTGATTTTGAGGGAGACATAACCATATTTAGCCACTTGGACGAACAACTTATTTGAATTTATTTTTGCTTTTTCAAATAGTTAGTCGAGTGTCCTTGGGTGGCCTTGTATTCACTGTTTGCCATAGATACACTTGTAGTACTTAATTCTTTCCTTTCAGAATATTTAAGGCGTAGGTTTCTCCTATTTCAAACAAATCGTGTGGTTATGGAGGGGTAAGTCTTCTAAAGAAGTAAAGAATATCCATCGAAACAGATGTCAGATGTAGAGTGGCAGCTGCAACGGGAGAAGGGATTGTGTTTCTGGTGTGATGAGAAATTCATCATGTGTCATCAATGAAAGAATCATGAGCTGAAGGTATTGTTGGTATAAGAAGATGAACATACTGACGAGGAAGAGCATGATCTGCTTGTTAAGGAACAATTGGTAGAGGTGGCTAATGTCAAAATTGTATTCTCCAATCTTTGTGTTCCAATCGATGCCTCAAAAGTGGTTCAATCGATTCTTTAAATAGAGAAAATTACAACCTCTAATTATGGTAATAATCTGTACAAGGAAAAGGCTAATTATATAATCATTAATCTATTGTTGGAAGAAACTCAATCAAGAAGATACTCCATAAATCAATCTCGTTGACATCCCCTCTCAAATTGATGTTGGGCGATCAAGCAGCATCAATTTGTCAATCATAAGCTGATGGCGATGACGAGATAAGGCCTTAGTAAAGACATCTGCTGGTTGGTTCTCAGTGGAAATGTGAGGAAGAGAAATCTCATGACGACCAACTGCCTCGCGAATAGAATGACAATCAACTTCAATGCGTTTGGTACGCTCATGAAAAACTGGATTGTTGGCGATTTGAATAGCACTGGTATGTAGGAGAAAGTTGCGAAACACCAATTTCTCGTAACAAACCCCAAAGCCAAATCATTTCAGAACAAGCAGCTGACATGGCTCGATATTCAGACTCAATGGAAGATTTTGAAACACGAGCTTGCTTCTTACTTTTCCAAGAGATAAGTGCACCACCAAGAAACATACACCAACCGGGGATAGAAAGACGAGTATCAACACAGCTAGCCCAATCTGCATCACTAAATCCCACCAATTGCAATGAGGTACTAGATGGAAAGAACAAACCACGACCAGAGGTACCTTTGAGATATCGAAGAAGACGACGTACAGCAGCCAAATGGGCCTGACATGGGGCTTGCATAAATTGACTGACTTGTTGGACAGCGAAGGAAATATCAGGCCTGGTAATGGTCAAATAATTTAAACTGCCCACCAACTGGCGATATAACGAAGGATCAGATAAGAGATCACCTCCCTCTTGACGAAGTTTCAAATTCACCTCCATAGGTGTAAGAACCGAATTACTGTCTTGAAGACCGACTAATGTGAGCAACTCTTGTGTATACTTATGTTGATGTAGTATTGTGCCTGTTGGACAATGTTGGATTTTAAGGCCAAGAAAGTACTGGAGAGATTCAAAATCTTTCATATGAAATGAAGATTTAAGCTGTTGTTGAAGCTTCTCAATAAATTGAGAATCAGAACCCATACTCATAGTAATCTAAATACACAAGAAGAAAGACAATTTCAGTAGGAGTAGTGTGGAAGAAGAGGGAAGAGTCGTACTAACTCTGAATAAAATTGAAGTCCAGAAGAGTAGAGCTAAATTTTTCAAACCAAGCTCGAGGTGCTTGTTTCAAGCCATATATGGATCGTTTTAAACGACAAACATCTGTAGAAGGAGAAGAAAACATGCAGGGTGGAGGAGACATAAATATTTCTTCTTTTAGATCACCATGCAAAAATGCATTCTTTACATCCATCTGGTGAAGTGGCCACCCTTTTGAAGTGGCAATGGCCAAAATTGTACGGATAGTAGTCATTTTAGCCACAGGAGCAAAAGTTTCCTCTTAATCAAGATCATATTCCTGTCGTTTACCTAAGGCCACTAAACGAGCTTTATACCTATCAATGGTGCCATCAGATCGTAATTTGATGGTATAAACCCATTTGCATCCAAAAGGTTTGACACCAATTGGACAAGGAATGATATCCCAAGTGTGATTGTCCTGAAGAGCCTGAATTTAATCAGTCATAGCTTGATGCCAACATTCTTGAGTAGAGGCCTGAGAGTAAGACTTAAGTACAGATATATTATCAAGAGTAGCTTGACGAATAGAATGTGAAAACCCATACCTATCTAGAGGCCGAGAGGTTCGAGCTGATCGACGAGGCACATGTATGACAGGATCAGTAACGGGATCAGATGTAGGAAGAGGCAGTGGATGACGACGCTGATACACAAGACTTGGCTTAAAACGATTAACGATTCTAGAGTCATCATCAATGAAAGGAAGTGAAACAGTAGAGGAAGAAATAGGCTCAGTACGAGACGGAAAGAAATGTTGATTTTTAAAGAAAACAACATTTCTGGAGATACGTAACTTGTTAGCTTCTGCATCGTAACACACAAATCCTTTGTGGGAATTACTGTAGCCAAGAAAAGCACATTTAATAGCTTGAACAGCAAGTTTATGACGTTCAAGAGGAGGTAAGTGAACAAAGCATACACAACCAAAGATATGCAAATAATCATAATTAGGAATGACACCAAATAAACGATAATATGGGGAATCAAAATTTATGTTTGAGGATGACAGACGATTAATCAAATACACAGCAGTAGATAAGGCTTCTACCCAAAATCGAGAAGGGACATAAGATTCAAATAGTAGAGTTCGAACTACATCTAGAAGGTGTCGATTCTTACGCTCAGCGATTCCATTCTGTTGTGGGGTATACGGACAAAAGCGCTGAGAGATAATTCCCTTTTGTTGTAGGTAAGATTGAAATTCACGAGACATATATTCTCCACCAGAGTCAGAGCGTAGGATCTTAACACAAGTTGAAAATTGTGTTTCCACATAGGCAACGAAAGTTTGAAAGATAAAAAAGACCTCAGTTTTAGATCGAAGAAAATAGACCCAAGTGAAACGACTATAATCGTCAATAAATATCACAAAATACCTATATTGAGCATTAGAGATAACAAGACTTATACCCCAAACATCAGTATAAATAATCTCGAAACACATAGAAGCACGGCTACCATGTAAAGGAAATGGCAAATATTTACTCTTACCAAGCTTACAAGATGCACAATCGAAAGATAAGTGTGAAGAAGAAAATTCATTCATATTATTCAAATAACCATTTTTCAAAAGATGTCTTAAAACAACAGAATTTGGATGTCCCTATTTCTTATGCCACAAATGACTATCAAAAGAAATAGCAGAATAACCAACATGAACAGAACGAGGGATAGAAAATGACTGAAGCGGAAAAAGACGTCCCACTTTAGGCCCTTTCGCTACCACTTGTCCCGATGCTTGATCTTACACACGACAACCATTACGATCAAAATAAAGAGTATAGTTATCTTCTACCAGTTGGCCAACAGAAATTAAATTGGCAAATAAATATGGAGAGACAAAAATATTAGTAAAGGAAGACCCTAGATCTCCAACCGCCGTGATAGGAATATTACTGCCATTAGCTATCTGGATATGCTGCTCACCGTCATATTTATGAACATTATTTTGAACTTCCATATTACCAGTCATGTGATTGGAAGCCACAGAGTCAACTAACCCAGGAGACAGATTACTTTTACCTTGAATGCCAAGCGTTGAGAGAGCATGTTCAGGTGTAAGAGTTGAGGAAGATCCTGAGGTACCTAACTGATCTGAAGATGCAGCTACAAGGTTGGACTGAACAACATGATGAAAAGCAGGAGGTGATCGATTCTGAGGTCGCACACGACAGTCTTTAATAATATGACCCTCCTTTTTGCAATAGTTGCAGAATTTCTTAGTACAGTATTTTGCAATGTAACCAAACTCCTTGCACCTGTAACACTGTGGTGACATTTGGATTTTCCTTTGCCTTGTGCGGCATAGGCTACATTGACCATTTCAAAATTCTCATTGGTCTGACTAATGCTATGCTGAGAAGCAAGTCGCTGTTCTTCGTGCAAAAGTTCTCCTAAGCAGACATCCAAGGACGGTACAGGACTGCGATTGATTAACCCAGCACGTGCACTTTCAAATTCGGGTCGTAATTTCATCAAAAATTAATCCCGTTAACTTTTAGATTGAACCATTTGTAATGCTGCTAAAGCATCTTTAGGAACTTTAGATTGCACCAACTCGGAATACTCGCTCCACAAGTTAATAAAACCTGAATAAAATTGTTCAATTGACAAATTTCCCTGTCGATAATTCTCAATATCCAACTCCAATTGAAATTTTCGTGTAGAATTATCGTGATAATAAATTCGTCGCAAATAATCCAACATCTCTTTAGCAGTTGTAAATGAACGAAGATTATTGACCATAGTTGGTTCAATAGAGCTAAGCAGCCATGAAACAATTCGAGCATCTTTGTTTTCCCATGAACTAAGCTCCTTAGGATCCGTAGGGGCTTTAGATGATCCAGCCACATGGTTCCACAATTCTTTACCTTTGACGAACATCTTGAACCGAAATTCCCAAGTAGGATAATTTTTACCATTAAGACGAACAATTGAATTTTCTCCGGCCATGACAACTAAATTAAAATGTCACCCAATAACTAGCCCAAATAAATAGCACCAAAAATGTCACCCAATAACCAGCCCAAATAAATAGCACCAACCCAAGAAATTCACACCCCAAACCAATAACCCAATAATCGGCCCAAAAGATTGAGGCCCAAATAAATACTATAGCCTAGAGAGAGATTCACGTGATACCTCCACAGTTCCCGTCGACCACTGTTCATGTCGACCACCCACCGGAAAATCGTCGCCTACTCACCCACAGAAGACACTGAAATCGTGTCGATCCCCGAGAGAGAAGCTGTGTCGCCCCACCCAAGAGATGCCGGAAAGAAGAGACACCCGAAATCGTGTCGAGCCTTCAGATATGGTGGTAGTCAAGGCAGAGGTGGTGGAATCGTGTCGATTGCACACAAAGAGACGTCGGGAAGATGTCGCATCACTCACCCAAGAGACACCGAGAGTCAAGCTTCCACACATGACGACAATTACTCACGGATATGCCGAAGATTCTCTGTCACCACCAAGAACCGAATTCCCGTTCTTCTTCTATGGGTATGGCTCTGATACCATGTTAAAATTGTATTCTCCAATCTTTTTGTTCCAATCGATGCCTCAAAAGAGGTTCAATCGATTATTTAAATAGAGAAAATTACAACCTCAAAATATGGTAATAATCTATACAAGGAAAAGGCTAATTATACAATCATTAATCTATTGTTGGAAGGAACTCAATCAAGAAGATACTCCATAAATCAATCTGGTTGACAGCTATAAGGGTGGAGCTCTCATTAAATTCGATAATAGGCTAGAGAATGCTTGAAACTATGAAGATTAAAGGTACATTGGCACAACTGGAGGTAACGGTTCTAATTGATTGTGGGGCAACCCACAATTTCATTTCATTGGAACTAGTCAAGAAATTGGGCCGCCAACTGCGCCTACTACAAACTATGGAGTTATCATGGGCTCTGATGAATCTGTAAAAAGAAAGCGGATCTGTAGGGGAGTCATGGTGGAGATGAAAGGGTTGATGATGGTAGAGGACATCCTACCTTTAAAGTTGGACAGCACGAATGTGTTGTTGGGGATGCAATGGTTAGGTAGCTTGGGCCGTATGGAAATCAACTGGAAACTCCACGCTATGCAGTTTTGAGTGGGAAAATCAATGAGTCTGAGAGAAGATCCCAGGCTAAACAAAGCTAGAGTAACATTAAAAGCCACGATGAAGGCTTTGCAACAAGAAGGCCAAAGAAGAGGGGGAGAAAAAGTACCTGAGCAAGTGGAACTGAAAGGGAAAGGGTTGCCTAATTCTGAAGCTCCATGGGAATCTGATGAGGATATCGGACGACGTTTACTTATTTTATTTAAGTTTTATTTATTTTCTTGGACTATTATTTAAATTTGGACTTGTATGGGCTTGGGTCCAAGTTCGTTAGGGTTGCTTTACTATTTAAACCTATTTTGCTTTGTAATTTTCAGTTGATGATGAATAAATAATTATTTTGGTGGCTTATGGCGCATCCTTCTCTTTCTCCTATTGAATTCTTCTTCTTTCCCCTCCCTTAATTCCCCATTCTTTCTGAATCTTTCTTCTGTTTCTATTAATCATCTTATTGGTGCTGCATCAAATTTGGTATCAGAGCCTAAACTTGGGTAATCTCTCATCTCCAATCCAAAAATCTCTTCCTATTTCTTTCCCAAATACTTGTGGAACAGCACAAACAAATAAACTTTTAGCATGAGC